AAGGGATCATATGAGAAAGGGAGATAGTGAAAGAAATAAGAATGAATATTTACTATTGGATCAATGATATCAATGGACATGATGAAGTCAAACATTAATAAATCTGGTCAAAACACGATGGCATAGTTGTAAATATTTGTATATTTCATGGTCAAGTGTACACCCCAAAGGGCACTCCTGTAATTTTGGTTTCACCATAATTAAGTGGGCCCCACCACTAATTAACCCTTCTCCTCCCCTCTCACACACACAAATACACACACAATCTGTTTCTTTTTCACTCACGCATGCACACAGTTCACACACACACACAGAGACACGGCGGCACCACAGCACACACCCACCTCCCGCCGCCTCCGACCACACCCAGCGCCGCCCCGCCATCGCCGGATCTCGCCTCGCCCTCGCCAGATCTTCACAGCGCCACCATCATCGGCCACTTCGATCTCAACAACCACGTCCGATGGCGAGCTCGCCGGCGACCATGACGACAGCGGCCGCACTCCGCTGCAAAAGGCGTTCAACGGTGTCCGACGTCGTCGTCGGTAGCATCTCCTTTTTCGGCGGCGGGTGATTGTGTGGTGGCCAACGGAAGGCGGCGGCGGCAATGGCGAACGGACGGCGACCGGCAAAGGTTCACCAGCGGCAGAGAAGATTCGTGTGTTGCAGACGAGTTGCAGAAGAAGATGAGTTGGGAATAGTAGAGAGACGGCGACGGCGACCTGAACTGGACGAGCTCGCCGGAGATCTGAACGGGAGATGGGAGGCGGCTGCCGAAAACGCCTTGGGGGCTGAGGAATTGCATCATGATTCTGGTTGATTTTGATTTAGGTGAATTTTCTTTCTGATTGTGAACAATTTTCGGTGAATTGTAGGTGAATTTTCATTCTGATACTGGGAACAATTTTCGGTGAATTGGCAGGGTGAAGTGAAATGCAATTTTGGTTGATTTAGGTGAAAATTGATTTAGGGGTTAATTTTATGTAAATTAGGTTAATTTTAGGGACTTTTATAATTTTTGCAAAACTTTAATTATGACATAAATTAATTAGTGATATAAATATTAATACTAAATTATTAAGAATTTAATAAAATCAAAGATAGTGTTACGTAATTTTTAAAACCTAAAAAAATGATATTGTACCGAAATACTCGACATATAAAATAATAATAATAACAACAACAGTAATAGAACAAAAATATCAAAATTCGTACCGAATTTCTGTTATCATTCGTTTTTGTGCAATGTGATAGACAATTGTGTGCAATCTGTATAACCCTAATGTGCAATCGCAATACATAAAAATATATAGATAAAAAATAGTATTAATTATAATAAAAAATATAAATAAATAAATAGTCGGTAATATTCTTCCGTATATTTCGACATGTGTGGTTATTTTGTTTATTAAAAAAAAAAAAACTAACTCTAACATTAACCAACTAATATTGTTCGATCGATTATTAGAATTACTGTAATTTTGATACGTGCGACGTGTTGTGTTATAAGGTGCAACATATTGTTGTATAAAGTGCAACTTACTCATATATAAGGTGCAATACTGAAATTTTGATAATTTAGCATACATGTGTGTGTGTGTGTATTTTCTTTTTTTTTAATATTGGTATTATATGTGAAGTGTAGTGATAAAGTGCAACATGTCGTTTTATAAAGTGCAACATGTTGTTCTACAAAGTGCATCGCATGATATATAAAGTGCACTATTTTATATTATCACATTATAAAATTATTATTCTTTGTGATGGGTGTTTGTCCCGTTTTTGTGTCTTTATTTCATATTTATTTTCTTTTTGTTTTTCCCCATTTGTAGGTTTTTCGTCGCTTATTTGGTCCATTTCATTCGTTTTGTGTTTTTGTCTTTAGTTTATATTTTTGTATCTTTTTGCCGTGTTTTGCTTCGTGTTTTTCCGTATTTGTGTTTTCAGGAGGTAGGTGGTGTCGGTCGAGGTTAGGATTGCGTGTGCCGAGACAGCGATATCGAGAATTCCCGTGGCCGAGCCCAGAAGACGACGAAGAGGACTAATAAGACGGACAGAAAACGCGCTCAGAAATTCTTGCGACTCGCGAGGCGACTCGCGACTCGAGTCGCGACTTGCGAACTTGCCCCGACCCGCGAGAAAACTGGGGCTTAAAGGCAGCTGCGAAGACGATGTCGCGCCTCGCGAGAAGATGTCGCGACTCGCGACCAACCCCAGAGTAATAAAAAAATGACGACGCGCGACTCGCGAGGAAGTTGCGACTTGCGACTTAAGTCGCGAGTCGCGACTTAATCGGCGCGTTTTTCGAGGAGTGGGATTTTTAATGCTGTTTTTGATCCTAGGTTTAGTATTCATTATTCCAACTTTATTTTTACGTTCCCTCTGGAGAAAAACCCATTCCTTTCTTTCTTTCGCACTTTTGAATTGTTTGGGGAGATTGACAACTCCTATTTCTTGCTTTGGATTTGGATGCACTTGGATTTGACGTTGGATTCTCTATAATAATCGTAAGTTATTTTTCTCAATTGCTTGTTGATGATGATGGCTTGGGTTAATTTGAATGTTGACGTTGAGTTTCATATAAGTAGCTAAATCCATTCGCTAGGGATAGGGGATGATTGATTAGGTTCATTATAATTGAATGCTTTTGATTGTTCATGTCTATTCGAGTTGTGCGAATCATAGGGTTAGTAGATTGATCACCTTTCTAACCTAGATAATCAACGTGTAGAACCGAGAGGGGAGACGTTGGTAGAATTAGGCTCGTTTAGAATAGATTTGTTCGGAAGCGTATAATCTATGTGTTGTTGGAATTGATAGTTGATCGTTAACGTTCATTCTCTTGTTACGAAGAGTTATTGAGAGTGAATCTCTGAACGAGAGACGATTCAAGACCTTTAACCGAGCAATCGATTGCCGGTGATTGCATTAGAACCGAAAGCAGTTATCCCCGATTCCCTAGCACTTAAATCATTCAGTAAAGTCATTTGCTATTTGCTTTCATTTCATTCAGGTTAAATCAGTAGTTGATAGTCAAAACCTCCAAACTTGATTTAGAATGTTTAGGATTTTCACTTCTTTTATTTTCTATTTTTGTGTTTGAATAATCGTACAAAATAATCCGGCCGACCTTCCTCGAGAGACACGACCCGGGGATTGAATCAATTGGTTTAACTCCGGTAAAAATTATTACAACAAAATTGGCGCCGTTGCCGGGGAAGGTTTAGGACTTATTTTGTGCGCCTATTCATCTTGTTTTTAGTGTTTCTCTTATTTCTTGTGATTTTTCTTGTTTCCGTGATTCTCTTGATTTTTTTTTTATTTGTTAGGTGTTAGTTCTTGTTTTATTTTGTTTTTATTTTGTTTTTATCATTGGTGCTCGTAACTCTTGTTGGTCTTAGTGTATGCGTACCAAGAGTGGACGCAAATTGCTATCTCCGATCAACAAATCAGTCAACGAGAGCCTGAGGGAGCTGCTGGAAGAGCTCACTCTCGAATCGAACGAAGGAGACGAGCACTCCCCGAAATCGTCAGAAGGCAGTAACGTCAACATGGATGAACAACAGCAACAACCGCCTCGTAACACCCTCCGAACCTTAGCCCAGCCGGTTATCGGGCCAGTCACTTCGTGTATCCGTTTGCCAGATCCCGCACGGAATTATGAGCTAAAAATGATTCACTACAGCCAGCTGCCGGCATTCCATGGGCTCCCGAGCGAAGACCCGCTTAACTTCATCCGAGAATTCTACAATGTCCTCAACACCTTCCCCCTGAACGGGCTGAATGAGGATCAGTTGAAGATGAGGTGCTTCCCCGAGACATTGAAAGACCGGGCCAAGGCCTGGTTCATGACACTTGCACCGGCATCTCTGACTACCTGGACCGAGGTTTACACAAAGTTCATTGGGAGGTACTACTCCCATCAGAAGACTCAGGAGCTCCGGTCACAGATCGTCTCGTTTGCCCAACTACCGAGTGAGCCTCTTCACGAGGCCTGGGGAGCGATTCAAGGATCTCCAGCGGCAGTGTCCCCACCACAATCTTTCACCGGGATTACTGATGAATTGCTTCTACGACTCCCTCAACCAGAATTTGCAATATATGGTTGACAACGCTGCGGGGGGAGACATCGGTGCAAAGACGGCCGAAGAGATGTATGAGATCTTTGAGACGATGAGTGCTAACTCGTCTCAAAAGAGCAATCGAGGGAAAAGGGTCGTGGTCAACGAGGTATCTTCTGCTCAAGATATGATGGCCCATCAAATAGCCGAACTCACAGAGCAAATGCGGCTAATGAATGCACGAGGAGGCCAGTCAGTGCACACCATGGCAGTAGACACATGCGGGGCATGTGGAGTTCAGGGGCATAGATCCGAAGTGTGCCCATCGGCGTTTGACCAGGAGGTAGGAGAACAGTATAAAGATGTCAATGCCCTCCAAGGTTATCAAAACCGGCAGCCCAATGACCCCTTTTCCAACATGTACAATCCCGGGTGGAGAAATCACCCACATTTCTCGTGGTCCAACAACAACAACACCCGCCAGCCACCTCGTCCAAACTTCAACCAACAGCAGCCCCGTCCAAACTTCATGCAACAGCAAACCCGTCCCAACTTCATCCCCCGTCCGAGCTACCAACAACAACAGCAACCACAACAGCAAGCCCAAGGGTCCGGTTCAAGCTCGTCAAATCAAGATGACAAGCTGGACAAGATCCTTCAGTTTATCACCAACCAGGACTCATCTATTAAGCGTCTCGAGACGCAGGTGGGTCAGCTTGCCACGAGAGTCGGGAACATGGAGGCTGAGTCAGACAAGGGGAAACTTCCGAGCCAGCCCGACCAAGCAAAGGCGATAACAGTGTTGAGGAGCGGGAAGGAATTGGACAACAAAGTGAGAATGCCCGAGCCTGATGACCCCAAACCAACCGACCAGCCCAAAGAAACCGAGGAGAGTACGAAGAGCACAGGAACCGACTCGGGAAAACCAACAGAGAGTCCTTTGTTACACAAGTCTCCAAATCCTTACAAGCCACGTATTCCCTTTCCGGACCGACTCAGGAACGAGAAGCAAGAGAAGCAGTTCCGGGATCTTTTCAGCATGCTCTCCAAAGTGAATGTCAACTTGCCACTTCTTGACGTGATTAAGAATATGTCATCATATGGTAAGTTCTTCAAGGACTTGGTGACCAAGAAGAGGAAGTTTGAGGATGGAGAGAAGGTGATAGTGTATGAGGCAGCAAGTGCCATGCAGCACGACTTGCCCAAGAAAGAACGTGACCCCGGTGGTTTCATTATCCAGATAGCCTTGGGAAACGGAAAGGTAGCTTCGGGGATGCTTGACCTCGGAGACGGAATAAATCTCATGCCCTTTTCGATTTTTCAGAGGCTCGGTCTTGGGGAGTTGAGGCCGACCCGCATGTGCCTCCAGTTGGCGGACCGTTCCATACGGTATCCGAAGGGAATAGTCGAGGACGTTCTCGTGAAGGTGGGCAAGCTTATTATTCCAGTCGATTTTGTTGTTTTAGACGTGGGAGATGTTCACGAGAATGG